TTTTTAACAATACGTCACGTAGGTTGCTTCTGGAAATTCTGAAACCAAACATTTTTCTGGAATCCAAACTACTTCTTTTGTTTCAATACAGGTAAGTAATCAAATTTGCTTTCAAAGTTTCATGCAAATCCGTTCAGTGGATTTTGCGTGATTTTTAGTAAGCACCTACTTATATGTACTTACTTACCACCATTCTTCTTATAGCTAAAAGATGTCTATCCCCCTAGTAAGAATAAATATTGGACGATTTAAAGTGTAATTTATGTTATTTACGGGATTGCTACGATGTACCTTGTTTATAGCGATTTTCCGCCAATACATAAAAAATATATTGATATAAAAGAGATTTCGATAAGTCAATTTGTATGAAGTATAATTTAATTCATTTCAAATGTTGTAACTAATATCTAAATGTATGTACAAACTTTTGTCCATTATAAAACTAAGCAAATTTTGAACCAATTTTCTCATTTAGTGATTAAATTTCAATATTTTTTTCCATCCTTGTACTTATACGTCAGAACCCTTGTGCATAATTTGATTTCATTAAGTTGACCCCACTAGAAAATTATCAAGGGCTGATTTCTTATACACGAACTATTACATCAATCAATACATCGCTCGATAAGTAAGTAAGAGGACTACTAACAAGATAGGTGCGCCTTGTAAGGCCCAGTTTATGACATTACTAAACTGAATTAAAAAATATATTAAAACAAAGAACATCTTCATCCCCATACAAATCAACATATTTGTTAACATTTCTTCAAGAAAACATTGATTTACAAATACCTCTACAGTGGTCGTTTTTCGGAGGAACATAGGTACTCATCATAGCCCGTCATTAAAAAACGTAATTGATAAACTTTATCAAAACACAAGATATATATATACATATTTTTAATTCATTTTAGTAATGCCATAAACTGGGCCTTACTATTCGCACCTATCTTATTAGTAGTCCTCTTATCATATACATCTAATATATAAAATTCTCGTGTCGCGGTGTTTGTGGTTAAACTCCTCCGAAACGGCTTTCCCGATTCTCATGAAATTTTGTGTGCATGTTGGGTAGGCCTGAGAATCGGTCAACATCTATTTTTCATCCCCCTAAATGTTAAGGGTAATCCACCCCTAAATTTTTTTTTTCAATTTTAGATAATTTTTTTTATGATAAATCATACAAAAATACATACAATCCTAAATTTTCACCCTTCTACCACCAACCCCTATATTTTTATGGCGGTACGAAGTTCGCTGGGACAGCTAGTATATGTATTTGTGAAATTTAACCTCACATATTATATTTGTTTCTTAAGTTTTCAAGCACACAACTCATTTAATAAAACAAGTTTCAACAGTATAGTTGCACTGGTTTAGTTATTTATTGACGTTTCTTATTCTTTGCAGGATGCGTCGTCGTATTAATGATTTTATTTACTTGTACAAACAAAGTGTTCGCCTTATAAAAGTTAGGAGGTGTGAAAGTAAGAAGATTATCAGATGAATAAAGCGGAAGATTATGGGAAGAAGAAAGAAACTAAAAACGTTTCTAATCCTTTTCAGGATGCGTCGTCTGAATTGCGATATTATTTACTTTGTTTATAAATCAGCCTGTTACAATATTTGTTGGTAATAAATGTACGGTGGGCCATCTTAGGGTTAATAAAACTAATAGTAAAAGTTTAGAAATAAAATCAAATAAGAATTTCTTTCTAACATTATTTTAAAGATCATCGAACAATTTTTGGTAATAAAAATAAAAAAATTGACGATATATAAAATATTTTTCCTTACTATATTTACTAATGGACTGAACATACTGAAGATAATGAGATCTTTTAATTAAAACATTGAGTGTTATCTAATAATATAATAATAATTATTAAATATGAAGAAAGTAGGGATATTAGCTACGTAAACGTAAATTCTAGTTTCTACAAGAGTTAAAGAAGTACTACTATACGTTCTATAGTTCTGTAAGGCCTGGGTCATTTTGCGAAAATGGTGGGCCTTTATAGGGATTTTAGTCCGTAAAAAGAACTTATTCGACGGAGAAAGAATATAACTCACCGCCCCTTCTCTTCCCGTGGGAGTCGTAAGAAGCGACTAAGGGATATCGGAGCTTCCATCCGCTCTTCTGGCGGTAGGCTGCCTAACACCCGCCTGGTTTGTTACCACCGTGCGCACGGTGAAAAACCCGTGAAGTGCTTCTCGCGCGGTTAGGGGTCAGCCAGCGTACAACCAGAGCTCGAGTGGAGGTTTTCGCGACGGATTCTGTCCAGAGGAGGCATCCGTCGAACCGATGCCGGAAGTACTGCATCGACCCGCCAGCCAGAGAGACCCGTAAAAATGGCTGACCCTCTGTTCGCCCGTGGCACAGTACAGGGGCCCGAGCGTTCTTAACACTGGTTAGGAACGCTCGGCTCAGCCTCACGTACTGACGTGAGGCTGCCCCATAATGTTCGCATAATGTCGGGGTGGACCGTCGTGCCAGTTGGTGACCGGGGCATGGGGTCAAACACACACGCGGCCACTTTCATCCGGCGGGTCGGCGCATCTCCTTTGCCGGCAGTCATTCGGGGAAACAAACCTCCTTAATTTGCCCGGACTCTTCGCTCGTCCGCTCGTTTTCACGTCTCTTTTTACCCGACTGCGCAATGCAACGGCGCGAAGCGCGACGCGCAGACAGGGTATAGTGTTTAACAGTCTCTATATGTATGTTTGTTCCTTTGTGGCACACTAGAGACCAAACGCGTGGACTGATGATTTATACATCAATCGATTCGTTTTATTCATGGGAGTGGTACTAAAGATGATAGTAATCAAAATTCAATATGGGGACAATTAGGCGCCATATTGTGACGAAGTAAAAAAATAATTTGACGAAATGTGTCGAAGGGGGGGGGGGGGGTTATCATTGTCTAGATAATCGATAATCGAATATCATGATTAGGTTCCTTACACCATTTTTCATTTTATGTGACTGTTTAGGATCAACGATTTAAAGTTGTATATTAACCACTTACGCTTTTAATTTCAATCTTACGTTTGTATGGATCTTTGTTACTCTTTCACCTAAAAAATACTGAATGGATTTTAATGAAACGTTACAATAGTATAGCTCATAGATAATAATAACATACAGATAATAATTTATGTAGTTATTGAGCGAATTGGCCAAAATATAACAAGAACTCTCAAGTAAGACGGAAAAAAAATCCCATCTGCGAGCCATTTTGACCTGAACTGCAAAAACAATAAAAGTTACATGAATATATCGTATAGTGGGAATGTATCTCTTAAATAGTTCTTCAAAAAAGACCGCGACAGCGTATAGCATATAGCATGTGTAAGCCATTATTGCTAAAATAGTGTATAAAAATAAAATATTATGTGATAACCATTTCCAAAATGCACATTTTGTACTATCAAATATTTTTATTATCAAAACAAGTACTTCTATCGCTTATGATATTTAAAGACGATAAACTTTGCTTATAATACTATCTCATTTCGACAAATATTTAAAAAGTTACAAACGATTGCAAAGTGATAGCGCGGGCTATTATGCAGGAGTAAACTGCGGGAATGGCGAGAGAAGAAATTTTGTTGCATTTAGTTACTTATAAACGGAGAGTAGCTCGATGGCGCGGGTGGTTAACGCGTTCGTTGAAGCAAAGCAACTTTCGCAGTGGTCGGTCATTGAATGGGTGACCAAAAATCTTCTCTCCCGAGTTTCTCCGTGCTGCGGAAGGCACGTTAAGCCGTTGGTCCCGGCTGCATCTGCAGTCGTTAGCACCCGTCAATCCGCACTTGGCCCGCGCGGTGGATCATGGTCCAAGCTGATGATGATGATGATGAAAACCTAGGAGGTGTTTATAAATGTTTATAAACGTAGAAAAGAAAAAAATGGGCTTCTCGCAGTATCTCAACCTATACGAAGTACTTACAATAAAACTGTGAGAAAGTTCCTTCTCATTAAATGATGAAAAATAAATTATCATAAGTAGGTATTTATTATTAAAATTTTATGAAAAACTCGGAATTATACTGTTTTCAAAGATTATATTATAACGATATTACTTCATTTTAAGGGTTACTTAACATAATGAGAAATAACCTTATTCGCTAATAGGTACATACTTAATGGTCTTTATTAATCAGCTCGCGATAATGTTGGTTTTGTAATTATAAACGATGATTCTGCAAAATTCGAAGTAAATAATATTAAGACTAAGTTTTATAAGTGAACACCCCTTCCGTCACCCTACCCCTATAAGCATTTCGATAATGTAACTTAGAACCAAGATCCCATCTATTCCTATAGGAAAATTCATCATAATCGATTTAGCTATTAGGGCGCGAAAGCGTAACAACCAAACTCACTTTTGCATCTACAATATTATATTATACTTGTGATCCGCCCCGTCATTGCACGGGAATTTATTTTAACGGTATAAAGTATAGACTATGTCACTCGAATATAATGTAGTGGTAAAGAATGTCTAAATCAATCGTTTAGACCACACCGCAAGTTACTTAATAATCCCTGCGATATTTACTCCCTTACTGAAGTAACAAGACTCCGGTATATGCCGCCATATAATCGTAACTAAAAAGTGTGAAATAAAAAAGGTAAATTTAAAAAATCTAAAAACAAGACTAAAATATTTATGCATTTTACATAAATATTTTATATATGTATTTTACATAAATATTTTAACTTGAAACATGTCATGAGCGGCTTACCATAGCGGGGGTGGAACAAGGTTAGTTCCCATTCACTGAGACATCAACCACCAGACACTTACACTAAGAAAGCTTTATGTTTTGCAGAGGTTTTTTTGGAGTTAGGGATCCAAAAGATGGAGATTCAATATTTTTTAACCCAAATTAATACTCCACAACTGGAAACACTGTGGTGACATGGGTTGCCAACCCTACTATAACTATAATATAGTATCCTACTATATTAGGGGACCAAATACTATATTTGTTTCTTAGGTTTTCACGCACATCACCCATTAAATACTATATTTCAAAAAAAAATATAGTAGGCGAAACTACTATCTTTTGCTTACAGCAGATATGTACAGTAATGGCTTTCTTAAAAAATAAAAAAAATATTATGATGGCATCGAGCAGCAATTATACATTTGCCATCGACTATATTTTTAGAGGTAACGGTACTGTATGTGATAGAAATAAAGGTGGTAACCCTTGTGGTGATGGAAAAATCTTACAATTTTTAAGCTTCCATCTGTCAAGTCCGTTCCGTCTGAAAAGAAACTTCGTTCCAATACTTTTTGTCTTGAAAACTTTTTTCGATTTCTGTAAGAAAAAGAAAGTTACAGAGCAAATTAGAAACTTAACTAACTAAATATTATATAACCTTAATTATCTTAACTACAACTCCATTCCATAGCGGTGCAGGCGGTTGTTCCAATTTTCCGCTGAAAAATTGCTAAAATTTTCATGGTCACTGATATTATAGTACCTAATTTATGTTATTTACGGGACACTTGCAACAGTGCAGAAACATCGGAGATTAACAAATACAAGAAACATGGTTGCAATCCCATATAACATAAATTACTATAATATCATTTCACAAAGGTTCGTAGGACCGAGGAAAACCGTTACCATAATTTTTAGTGTCAGTCTTTTACGAAATGATAAATGATAGTAATAATAATATATACTTATGTATATTTTACAAGAATATGTATGAATAACATACAACGATTTATCGGAATAAGCAAATGCACATCAATCATAACATAATTGAAATAGCTCAGTCAGAGCATTGAAGATTTGAGACAAGGATTTTATGCGTCACTCCGGAACTGCATCCGTTCGCTCTGAGAGACCGCGTCGGTGGAGGGAGAACCTTACACCCTGCGATATATAATGCCTGCACAGTCAGCACCTGGCAAGTGTTTACGCAACCACTACAGTATGAAGGTGGGTTACAGGCTACAGTTCATTTTTATTTTTTATATAGTAAACAAGCTACCTAATACAGTTTGGTAAACCGTACCACATTATAAACTTTTTTCTAACATTATCGTATTTTTTTATAGAAGCAATAAGCATAACGAACTTTAGATATTATTGTAATGTTTTACAATAACAAGAATCTAGATCAGATCCCAGCATACAATCCAAATAAAGGTTTATGTTACGTTTAAGACTAAGGGCTTCAATTGATTTTCATTGTAAGTCTGGGTAACCATGCGGATACAGCGATCCGTCCATTCAATCAAATGTGTGGCGTTGTCTGTTTGCAGGTTTTGGTGTGTTTGTTAGTGCTGGCAGTGGCTGCACACGCTGGGTTCATCGGTGGCGGTGGCGGAGGCGGGTGGAGGGGCGGTGGCGGTGGTGGGTGGAGGCGCAGCGGCGGCGGCGGTGGCTGGTCCGGCGGCGGCGGCGGCGGGTACGGGGGAGGCGGCTTCGGAGGCGGCCACGGAGGCGGGGGACGTGAGTATATAAATATGTACAAACTATATTTTCCTTATGTAAGATGTGGGGTAAAATGCGTAAAATCTAAGAAGGACCTGATGCGGCCTACACTCCTGGTACTCCGTAAACTCCTCGAATTTCTTATTACTTGTTTTTGTCCGCAACACACACCTACATTGTCTGTGGTCTGCACTATATCTAACATCACGTTAACTTTGACTGTGAGAAGCTAGATTATATGATTAAAAGAGTGCTGGGCGAGATTTTAATGGCATTAAATGAATCTAACTGCTTTATTGAAATTGTTAAATTACCGCTCTACAGGCTGCAAGTATTCCGATCACATATTTAGCAAGATAATCAGAATACAATATTGAAAAAAAATATTTTTTCCAGAAATAAGAGTTGTTAAAGTCATCAGTTCCGGTGGGGGAGGTGGTGGGTTCGGTAAGTTGGAACTATTTTTTTTTACTTTTTTAAACAATATAATGAAAATTTAGTACACCAAATCTTTTAAATATAAGCAAGTTAATTAAATATATAAAATCCAGGAAATATTTCAGCATCAGTTCAGTTAAATGTGAATTATATTCAAAGCAAGTAAACAAGTACGAACAAGTTGGTAACTGTCAGTTATTTCCTAACATTGTTTAATTTGTTGTACAGGCGGTGGTCATGGGGGCTGGTCCGGCGGTGGCGGCGGGTTCGGCGGCGGCGGTGGCGGGTTCGGCGGCGGTGGCGGGTACGGCGGCGGCGGCTGGAGGAGAAGCGGCGGGGGCTCCTCCGGTTGGTGGGGATGATACACGTCTATTGTGATACCTACAACACTAATAAAACTTTATTTATATACCTTGGACTTTATTTTATAATGGCACGTTGTTGAACGACACCACACTATACCTTCTTTATCGTTTAAAGCTCAGAAGAGTCGCGGTCAAATCATATTAGCGAAGCTAAGCGGCGAGAGCGAAAATCGACGTTTTCAACTTAGCAGCCATCCTCCTCATCAATACTTATGAAGTGAACGATAAATGAATCAGAAAGTGTCATCTTCAGCAGCGCAGTCAACATAGGACCTTGATAAGTGGAATATGCTTAAATTAGCTAAATGTTTGCTTTATAAGTTCATATTTACAATTTGTTCTCGTAGATTGATTAGGTATTTTAATCGATAATCTGGTGGGACTGCGGTTAGGACTAGAATATCCCAAATTTTCGGGAAAATACTCAATTTTTAAGAGTTATATTTAAAAATATGTCAGGCTTGCAGAGTTTAAGAACCATTCATATTGTAGAGATTTTTTATAATTTAAAATGCATATCTGATTTTATAGATAGGATGGCCTTTCAAAAGTTCGGGGGTTTTGGCGGACCACGCAGTTAGCACAGGTCTTTCGAAGCTGCAAAATTGTTATTACACTGGTGGTATCTATCCTAACAACATACCAAAAATTTGTAAAGTGCAATTTAACCTACCATGTCTTAAATGTCTTGCCTATAGAACCGTTTATTTCATTAGATGATTAGTGAACGCGCGAGCATCTGTATTTGTTAGTTCTTTTATATCTTATTATAAAGTTGCGGAGATATTAAAGTTTGTTAAGGTTACTTACTACTAAACAACAATCACGAAAGTTATTGAATAATTTTAATAGCAAATCAACATTAGATTAAAATGCTCAAGGTATAATGTATCCACTTCTTTGCTTTAAAAATATATCGTTACAACGGACCTTGCTATTAGTTATTTTATTCATTCGTCAGTGATTACACTCAAAAGATTTACGAATAACAGACATAGTTGAATACAAAATATTAAGATACATAGCAGGTTTCCCGCTCGACATGGAGCGCCCGCCCATCTGAATAAAAGATGGGATTTTTGGATATTCAGCGCTTCAGGGGTTTAATTAGGGAAATTTCGTTATTTTTCAAGAAAGAAATGTGAAAAAAGAAATGTAGTTAAGCTTATTATATTTTTAATTTAAGCTACATGCTAGATTTATAAATCTATTGAAAATATTATTAAAAAAAATAAACGCGGTCCAGGCATCATCTGCCCGGATAGCGGATGGTGCGGGTTCAAAGTCCCGTCTGACCGCGTGGATTTTTTTCTAGTAATATTTTGTACAAGTTACTTAGTTGTTAATTAGGTGTCTAGTCTGGTTACTTATAATACCAGAAAAATACAGTATTTTTTGGAATTACACGAAAGTGATTTTGATTTATATTCCTATGATTTCCTATAATTTTAATGGTTGTCGTAAGTGTATTGAAGTCAGCCATTTAAAAAAATCGCTAAAGTGATTTCCAGAATCGGTACAGCTAGAGAGACAGGGAAGAATTTGTTCCATATTGAATTCGTCACATTATTATTTTTTCGAAACGGACGAAGGGACATGATGGGTAACTCCATGTTATCACATAGGATTTTTTTATTGTTGATTTTTATTTATTTTGTTTAATGATACTAAAGAAAGACTGAACGAGTAAAATAAACAGACGAAGCTCTGCAGAAGCGTGCTAAAACCATTTTAGCACGCTTTTGCAGAGATCATCAGTAAAAAAAGTAAGGCAAAAGAAGAAACAACCAGAGTTATCAAAAAAGAAAAGGATGGAAAGAAAAGGAAAGAGCTTTTTAAAATAAATCATAACTTACAAAGTCCAGATCATTATGGGAGTTTCTTACCCCCTGTTATCCAATAGGGTAACCCGTCTTACCTGACTTATGGGGCAAGATGGGCAGATACCCCTTTACTTTCTATTCGCAATATTACGACTGGTTCTTTTGTATGATCTTTCTAATTAGCTGCTATTTGATATTCTGATAAAACCGTACAATACAAGTAGGTATTTGATTTATTGTGCTTTAAACCTTTGTGTCTTGGCCCACCCTCCCCTGTCAGGTCAAATAATAAAAATATATTAATTCAATTAAATGTAAGTTAATTTAATCAAAAATTAAATGTCATTATATGAATATATATAAATTGTAAGTATTGTATTTAAATCTAAAAAAATATTTTTACTAGATAAAGTACAGGACTTAAACGTCTAGCAATTGAATGCGTGAAATATTTTTTATAAACTATATATTACAAATGTTATGGCAGGAGGAGCTGCTGGCTCCTCTAGCTGGCCGGTACGGCTCATTGTGCCGTGCCGGCCACCGAGGGGTCCCGTGACGGCAGCCCCCCTCTTGTAGTTCTGTCCTGCAAAGAGAGGGGTGGGGAGGGAGCTACACGGGCACGCCCAAGTAGCCCTCCGCAGAGGACGGGGGGCGGCGCGGTGGGCACTAGGCCGCGTACTCAGCCCCCTGCGCACGTCTACGTCTACCCCGGGGTATCGCGGGAACGGGGATTCCGCGGCTTCGCACTAAGCAACTTAGAGGGTATTCGCAGGGTTTTTAGCGGATAGTACGCCGTTAAGCGTGCTCTTAAATGGCGCGGGTTACTTTGGGAGTTAGCCCCATCGTGCCCGTGACGTTTCAGGATGTGAGGTCCGTTCGGCGGTGTGGCGCCCGGTACCGCGAACGCTCGACAACAGGACTGTTGCCGCATCGCGCGTTTTGTATGAAAAAAAAAGGATCGTCCGTACGCTGTACGACAAACGCACCGCTTCGGCACCGCAGCAGGCCGTCAAGAAACGCATAAATTGAAAGAGCCCTTAGAGTACGTTCAGATGAAAGGCGTTTAACACGGGTTTTGCTAACGCGCGTTGACAAGTACATGCATTTTGTTCGAGTCGTTTAGATGCTACCGCGCGTTTTTATTGGACGCGCGCAACGTGCGTTAGCAAAACGCGCGTTAAACGCCTATCATCTGAACTTACTCTTAAAATAGTTTGCTTCAAATTCTTTAGATGGAGCGTGCGATCGCAAGTACATTTATGAAACTTGGTGTCTAAGTAATAAAGCTTATTTTTGTTTGCGAAAAATATAACTTAAATTAATAACAAATTGCTTAATACATTAAAATAATGCTTGACATTTATAAATAAGTGGCAGCTTAAAACAAAAATAAATAAATATATACTACAATAAACCTTAAACTAAAAACCTTAAAAAATAAAATATAATAACTAAAATACATTATTAAAAGAAGTCCCTTTAAGCAAGGTTCCGAAGATGCTGGCAGCGTTCCCCCTTTGGATAGCTATACTAATTCTTTGTCCGAGTTAGCTGCCAGCTCTTCGGTCTCCTGTGATGTCGACTAACCTTTATATGCTATATCATTAAAAAGCCTTATAGCGCGGGGACCCCACGGACCAAGTTTGATTCCATGGAAGGTGGGCCGGGTGCTAGTATGGGATGCAACCAGTTCAGACACACTGGCCCCTTCCCATCAACCAACCAACCAACAACAGAGCTGGTGCGGCTTGTGAAGCGGCTGAAAAAGCTAAGACATGCAAATACAGGGGTCCAGGCTTCGAATATGATTTTGTCCCATTAAATTAAATAGTATAGTAATGTTTCATTTAAAGTGATTAGTTTAATTATGTATTTAATCATAACGCACATTTTCATTATTTTCTTTTTTTGTTAAGCTATTATTTATTTTTCGAAACAAATTAAGTATAAAATATTTAATTTTAACCTAGAGAGTTGAATTTTAACACAGGTGTTGTCTTTAAGACGATCCTAGTCGTGAAGGATTTTTATGTGTTCACATTTTTGTAGGTTTCACTTCTAACGCATGTGAACGCACATGTCCGTTTTTTTCTTTTCCTCTTAGGTTTTATCTATGTTTATAAACACCAAACATGTTTAATGAACATTTTTGAAGTTATACTTCTTTAGGCGCGTTATGAAAAAATGATGAGAGTGAAATTTTTAGATGCGCGCGCATCACTGTAACCCAAAAGTAACAGCATGAAGTTGGCCGCGGGCGCGTTATGAAAAAATCATGTGAGTGAAATTTCGAGATGCGCGCGCATCACCGTAACACAATAGTAACACCATGAAGTTGCCGCGGGCGCGTTATGAATGTTAGTGTCTAATAATGGTGGATTATTAACCACCATTATTAGACATCTGTTCGAAAGGTACTTTGAACGATCCACGGAGCTCCATAAGATGATCGCGTTGTCAAAAACAATGTTGGCACGCTCGTCGCCTCTGATCACTGTTTTCATATTTATAATATTTATCCACATGTTTCTAGTTTCTATATAGACACAACGTGTTTTAGTTACTTACAAGTGCTAATTACATATGGACTAATAACTTAAATTCAGTAGTGATTTTAATTGAATATTTTGAATATTTATTTAATTTTTCAAATTAAAACTGAACTTAATTGACTGTGTTAACTATCCTTTTCCAGTCCTTTTATTATTTTATTGTAATTATTAATTATTTGCATGCAATTAAAAAATATTTTTAATGATGCTAAAGAAGTATAACTTCTCACGCGCGTACATAAGTTACACGCATCCATTTTTTTTTCTCTTATCATTGTTTTTTCTTTTATATATCAAGCACCAAAAGCTCAATATAGCGCCTAGTTGTCCTCATATTTAATTTCGATTACTATATCATGTCTTTAGTAGCACTCCCATGATTAAGACGAATCGATTGACGTAAAACCATCAAAGCGGTCCAAACGTTTCGTCTATAGTGTGCCACAAAGGAACATATGTACATACATGGACTTATAAAAAAAGGCGGACAGAGTCCCGGTAAACAATAAACTGTGTCGCTCAGAGTCGGCCAGGTCGCTGTACGTACAAGCCGGCACGCACACATTCACACAATAGTCAGCCACTACGCGTGCAAACGTCAAAGCAGCCGACACGTTACGTGGAGATAAAAAATAAGCTAAACAAGATATCTTGCTTGTAAAAAGGTGTAAAAACCGTAGTGACCGAAAGAAAAAAAATCCAGGAATCACGTTTCATAGGTAAATGAATAATTGAATCACTTTTTTCTAGTTTCTAGAAATCGAAATCAATTTTAGTTCTAAGGACAAAATGATTAGTCAAAAGCCCAGTGTTGCCAATGTTCATGTAACCATATTACCTAAAATATGGGAAATTGGGTTTGAAATTAACTTCAATCTATTATTTATTATTCTTTTTTATCAGATTTCCTAAAGAAAATGTAGTATGGAGAAATTACTGGAAAATTAATGATTTCCAAACAAATATGTAGTAGTGTCATTTTTAGTCTTCATTTTGAAGCTCAAGACTTATATACAACTAAAGGAGGACTCCGGCGTGTTATTACGTATGCATTACCTCAAAAGGTTGATTAAAATTTTTAACCGACTTCGAAAAGAAAGAGGTTCGCAATGCGTCATATTTGTTATTTTTTTATTGTTGTTCACGCAAATCTCCGAGATTCGTGGACCGTTTATGATGATTCTTTTTTGTTTTAATCAGTTTACTAGCGAGATGGCTGCATATTAATTTACTGGAGATCTGATGAGTAATTTCGGAGGAAAACAATGGAACTCCTCAATTACAAACAGCACTCAATGGGTGTTAGTTTATTTTAAGAAATATGAAAGAGAATGCAGGCCAGGCCATCTATATTTAGTTGATTTACCCAATTTTAAGAAAATTCGATACATTCTAGAATTTCTAATGAGTCCCGACTGTTAAAGTAACTTTGTTCCTTATTAAACAGAATTCTAGACTACTGGACTTGTTTTTTTCTTTTTAGTACATTTTTTTTATTTTCGACATTTTAAATTCATTATTTTTTAATTACAAGAGTTGTATATTTTCTAAATATTCTTTTAAACCCTTCACTTTGATACCTCGCTTGACGGGTTATAAAAAAACTTATACTTTTTTTTCAAAATGTTTCATTTTGGCGCATAAAATCTGTTATTTTGATTTTTTTGAAATTTTAATATACCGAGTGCCACTCACACAATCACGACAAATCAAATGATACCTCGCATGTCAAAATCCGTCAAGACGTTCAGGCTGTAGGGCGTGCCAAATTATTGGACATACATACATACATGCATACATACGCTCGAAAAACATTATCCTCCGCAGTCGGGCAAAAAGTAAAATTTTGAACAATCAAAATATTTTCATGTTTTAACTGTGTTTTATTGGTAAAAAATTGGCTAACCTAGCAACCCTACAATTCACTCACTCATCAATAGCAGCCGCCATTACGGTGCCTCAGTATTGTTTTAGCCGAAACTCTGTCCGCTTTTTTTTATACGTCCATGTGTACATACATAT